CTGGGATCGTTGTGTTCACTCCCAGGGGAACTACTTCGAGGGTGATGGATGAATTTAATACCTGAGATAAGTGTACGGGTTTTTATACGCGCAGTCTTTAAACTTTCCGATCGCACCTCGTATTTATTAAAACTTCTGCTCTACTTAATAGTACCACGCAAAGAGAAGAAATATAAAGTTCTCATTGTATCCAAGTTCCAAGCTCATTTTTCTCGTGGATGAAAATTCTTATAAAACTTTTATTCATCGTCCATAACTTCTTTTAGTCATGAAGCAGAAAGTTTTAATTAATACAAATAACACAACAAACTTACTATAACAAAGATCAGTGTTTATACTGCGAGTTTTCAAAATGAAATATTGACTTACTCCATACGATATTTCTGTTAATTATTCTGTTACTGTAGTTTGTATCTTTAAATGACACTTTAAATATCTGTTCTTTAAAATCCACGTGGAATCATAAAACATATCCGATGCACCTGCCATATTGTTTTACTATGTTCATTGAAAACATTTCCTTGACAACGGCTGAATGTTTTTCGAAGATCTGAAGCCAAAATCACTTAGGTCGTTATATTAAATGACGCCAAGTACGCGCGTCCGCCATGTTGTTGTTAAAGATTAAAGTAAATTAAGAAGTACGAGATTTACGTGGCATCTAATGGAATGACGAATCCGTGTATCAAACAAAGAAGGTATAAGAATTGAAATTAAAAGATGAACAAATTGACTCGGTAATGAGACATGAGTCGGAAACATGAAAGAAATGTGTCATGCATGGACGATACCTTCAGAGCTTGGCCGAACGTCTGATCAGAGAAGAAGACACACTCCTCTTGTTTACGAGCGGGAACCTGAAATTATAAGCAGAGAGAAGAGCTTAGCAAAAACACAATACACTCAAGAATGTGATGACGTGACGTTATTTTATTTAGTGTTCTGTCTGACGACAGGTCCATATGAACAGGATCCTTCCATCCTTTTCTCGGACTGGGACCTGTTCATATACGTTCTTGGCAGATGATCCAGAAGGTGTTTGCCATTTCCTTCTTCTGTGTG